TTACCGTTGACCCAGCAAACACCCGGCGGGGACATAGTAAGAAAATCTTCAAGCTCAGGGCACACACATCCGTTAGACAAAACTTTTTTTCATTTCGGGTAGTAGCTGCGTGGAATGACCTTCCTCCGACGGTTGTACACGCTCCTTCTCGAACCCAATTTAAAGCACTATTAGACATTTATTTATGCGAATCCTCGCGCTGGCGAGCATACTGCCCCGCGCTGAGAACATAAAGAGCAGTGCTACATCCTTTTTTCACTTGTGCCTTTCAGGTGAACGACAGCCACTGACCGACAAGAACAAAACCGACCCGGGAAACTTGGGCAAAAGCCTCGATCCTGTGTATCAATCCGTGAAAATTAAGCCGCCAAAACTAAAGTCCACGTCAAAAACAACCACCAAACATGCACAGGATATATTAGCACCAAAAATGAAGTCGGGAACACTTATACAGCGTCTCCTATACGTAGCGCAAGTGGCAATAACTTCCTGACGAGTTCTCGATGCGCCATTGGCAACCGGCATTCCGCCAATTCTTGGTCGTGATTGGCTGTTGGGTCCAGAATTTCCACCAATCAGATTTCTCCTTGATGCCGGACAAGGAAGCGTCCCCAATTTTAGGCCAATCTTGCGGGGATGGCCTTCCCGGCCCTAGCGGCACCTGACTGCGAGCGTCAAAGCGGGATCTATGTGGAATTCCGCCTAACACTTCGACACACGGCGCTGACGTGACGTGAGCTTGTCTGTCAAGGGAAGAGTCTATACTGCGGTGATGCGATCCATTTTGCTTTATGGACCATAGACGTGACCCCTACACGCACAGGATATACGGAAAATGTTAGTGTTTGATCGTTGGTGTCTCCGCAGGTCTGGTGGGACCATCATATAAGTAATCCTGAGGTACGCCAGATGGTCTTAGGAAGAAGGAACTCGCCCGAGGCAGATGAATTACTCACGCTTCATGGGTTGCGCTGGTTCGAACCTATACTCAGCATGCCAGAAGACCGTCTGCCTCTCAGAGCTCTTTTCCCCCAGCCCTGTGATGAGCGGAAGCGACCGAGAGATGGACAGTGTATGACCTGGCAACGAAATACGAAAACACTATCCAGTATACTTAGTCGGATGGGCAAATGCCGCCTCCCTGTATGGGGACCCCGGACTCAAATCAACAGTGGTTAACGACATTGGCCCAATCGCGCAGTCATCGCTCATGCACCAAAGCTAGCGCCTTCATTGCGTAGCCACCCAGTTTCCGAACAAACTCAACATATGTTGGCATATGCCTTTTCATCCAAGGCTCGGCTATATGTTCCAATTTCCCGTTTTCTGGTGATCGAAGCTGTAGCAGCTGGAACCATATACCTATGGCACACGGTGTATAGCTGATAAATTGATGGATTAATTGATTGATCAACTGATTGATTGATTGCCTGTACCTGCAAAGGTTATTCACGCAATATAACATGAACGCCACTGATATCGGTTAGCCGCCATATCGTTCAGTGCCTCCAGCCACAGCCCGAGGCTGAACAAGTACGCGGTTATTACAGCTGGCAATGATGATGATGCCTCCAGTCAAGCTCAGGGTTGGTCACATGGATCCAAACCTAAAGGCCGAATGGTACCAACAGTGTCCAAACTACTTGTAGCATCGTTATTCCCCTTCTGCTATGTCAAGTCCTTTCCACTTCTAGGTTTCACGTACTACAGAAAACAACGCTCATCTCGACAGGTCATAAATTGATGTGAATAACACGTAATCCAGCCAGCTTAGCTTGCGTTGCTGGATATATTCTTTGAGTGAAGTACAGTCTGCTTCATCCAAAACCCTTCTGATCACCTCATTCTGAATTCATTCAAGGTTTCTCAGATCTTTCGCCAGAGGTGGCCAAGTCCTGCTACTTGACAATAGTAGGACTCCTACTATAGTCTGATGTATATTTCGTTTGAGATTCAGCTATATTAATTTTTGTCTGGAAGTTTAGATTGCTGAAGATATTCCCAGAACTCCCGAAACTTACTGCGACACCTACCAAAACCCCAGTAGGGAGGCCGTCAAGCATTCAAGTCAAAAATTCCAGCTTTTGATCGAACGCTCACTCAGTCACTCAGTTCTACAACGACCACAGAAGCACCATCGACGAGTGTTCAGGCAGGCCACAAAGGCACTGCCGACGATGATATTTGTTCAAGCATTTCCTAGAAGCACGGTCGGTGGTGATGGGTGTTCACCAAACGCCCATCAGACAGCCTGGATCCATGTTAAAAGTACTCTTTTGGTATCGCGAGGTCCCTTGTAACTTTTGTCTCGCTTGTTCGAGTGTTCAGGCAGGCCACAAAGGCACTGCCGACGATGATATTTGTTCAAGCATTTCCTAGAAGCACGGTCGGTGGTGATGGGTGTTCACCAAACGCCCATCAGACAGCCTGGATCCATGTTAAAAGTACTCTTTTGGTATCGCGAGGTCCCTTGTAACTTTTGTACTCGCTTGTTCGCAATAAGGCCATCGTGCACCTTTTCGAAGAGTCTTTTCAAGTTGCGTATGGCGTTCCGAAAATTCCATTTTCATTTCCTGAACTCTCGGAGACATGCCCAAAATCTGTACGTCCTGCGATGTGTGGGCGCGAAATATGCGCCGAAAGATAGAATGACTTCGATCAGCTTTTCTAGTATTAGTTGCGCTTCCTGGTCTCCCGAAATACCAAAACGTTTGTCCGCATAGTCCAGGTCGGGGTTTTGGAGGCCTTTCAGTGTCCATCTCACTATCTTATCCACGAAATTAAACAAAGACGGAGAAAGTAGACATCCTTGTCAGACGACATTGCTTGCATCAAAGCTTTCGGAGAACTCTCCATACACTTACGCGCCTGCAATTCTGTGAATGTAAACTACAGGTGATATTCACGAACCCTGCTGTCCAAGCACGTTGAAAAGTGTTCACTGGTCTAAAGAATGGAATCCACTCTTGAAGCCAAGAAACGCCAAGATCGTAGGGCTCCTATACGCAGGAGTTTCTCTAACAATTGGTGGAGTGTTTACGCGTGGTCCACACATTTCAAAAAGGTAGAAGTCTAGACCTCAAGAGGGCATCTATGTTCCATGTGACTTCATTGACCTTCCAACGCCTTCCAACGTTCGAGTTAAAGACAACGACCCAGCGAGTCCACGGAGGCAAAATGGTTACGTTTTTGTGGAGTGGCATAGAATTTGAGAGTTGAGAAGAGAATGCAATAGCTCCTATTTAGGATCGCCATTAGCTGCGTGACGTAGCCAGTCCTATTGTAGTCACTAACCGTTCGTTTGTGATGTCCAGGGGTTCTCATTCGGGAAGTGACCGAGTTAACTGGTCAGAGCTTTCGTTCTCTGGTGCCGATTCATTCAATGACTGCCCCTACGTCGCTCCATCGCATACAAAGCTACGCTCTGAGGCACATTGTTCTGTGGTGTAAAGAGTGAAGTATATGGCCTAACGAGCGTAATCTGTGGAGTGTGACGAGGTAGTTTGTCGAGGGAGAGTAAACTTTCTCCAGAATTATATGACCTCATTAATCTGATATTCACACCAATTACAAAGCTGTCATGGGCTTTAGCACTCCTGAGGACTACGTTGTTCGAAACTCGGTTCCTTAAGGTTCAGCTGTGCCAGCAAGACCAACGGGGAGCAATCTGACGAAGAATAGCCAGTCTACATACTGCGAGAGACCCTAGTACGAGGCTTCCTGGAGTCAAAGTTGTACTACCCCCTGTGGTGGGAGTGTGAACGCAGTAAGGTGTTTCAGTCGAACACGGTGTCCTAATCTATGGAAGTAGTCATACTACCTTCTCCCGAGGAAGCACGGGTCAACAAAGTCCTACCCTAAATCCACAAACCGATCTCCCAATGGTTAATCAAGAATCCGGACACATTACTCAATTTGGTCGAGACAATTTTAAAGTTGTAGAACCTGGTACTGCTCTGAAGATACCTGCTTTAAGCAGCTGCACTAAGATTCTGACGGTTGTGCCTTACTCCATGCACGTACGAGCAAAAGTAAGCTTTCACTTGAGTTTATAACGTCCAGTGGTGTAAGGTAAGGCTGTCTTCTAGCATCACTGTCCACTCCCACCACCACCTTTGTAACTGATGTGCTGTTTGAAATTCCTCTACCTTCCTCTGAAACCTCGGGCGTCGAAATGTTCTTGAAACGATCGCTCACAGACGGTGTTGCTGCCGTTGGTTCAGATCCTTCAAAGATTCAAGCTCTGCCTTACGATCCTGTATGCGCTTCACAACTGCAAACTGTGAAGTTCTGCTGGGTTGGTTCAAACCCAAAGCTCATGCTTGCGGACTTGCCGATCGAGATGGTGGATAAATTTGTTTACCTAGTTGGTTGTATAGGGTGTGGTAGGCTGTGGAGGGTTGCTCCTCAAATCGGAAAAGGTAAGGCAGCGTTTGCCAAACTCCGGCACCCATTGCGCTGGCGTGACGTCAGTTTATCTGTCAACCGTAGAGTATACACGCGTCACTGTGCCCCATACTGCCTTATGGGTCAGAAGCATAGCCTCTACTTGCGGAGGATGTACGAATACTCTCGGCGTTTGACCACCAATGTCTGGTCTGGTCTGGTAGGAACATCGGATTAGCAATGCTGAGGTAAGCCAGATAATTTTTTTGAAAAGAATGAGGTCTTCCACGATGAATGAATTCCTCACGCTTCATAGGTTACGCTGGTTAGGATAAGTACTGTGCATGTCCGCGAATCGTCTGCCCCGCAATGCTCTTTTCGCTCAGCCTTGTGCATTTGAAAATTATTGGGAGTTAGATAGTGTATGGCCTGGTAACGAATTATAAAAACACTCATCAGTAAACTTAGTCGGCCGCCAGAACACAACACACAAGGGGTTAGTGATACTGGCAGACATGGCTCAATTACGCAATCAGTGGCGCTCATTCATCAAAGCTATCACCTTCAGTTCGCAGAAACCCAGTTCCCAGACTAACTGAACACGCTACCGCTTAATGTGCTTCCTGCCCAATTGTATTTATCACACTCTCTCCCTTCCTGGTGATCGAAACCGTAGCAGCTGAAAGTAATGTACCTTTGGTACATAGCTTATAACTTACAGTCCCAATTAGACTAAACTGATGTTTCCACCATATGCAGTACTTCGAAGGCACCTATTTTTCTGCGTAGAGAGCTTTTGAGGGTCTTATACATGCGGTGGCCATATCTGTGAACTATAGTGTGTGACAGGTCGGAACGCCGCATTGTGCAGTCAAGCTGATATCACGCTGGCGTCACAAATATCGACGGTTAGCAGACGCTGCCCTGGCCTTCCTAATCTGGGATTGTTTTCATCTATCGCCAGCGGTCTGGGACTTATTCGGTTAGAGTGACGTATCTCCCACCTTCATCGGCTCACCGTATCGGAACAATATCCGGGATATGCTGAAAACTTCGGATCCATAATTCTGAGGTGAATCTGACGTCACACGCCTACAGCACACGGGCTATAAGCACCTGACCGTATAAAGGTGAAAACAACCTAGCCGTTATTGGCCCATGACTCTGCGTCTATTCACATGTCCATTCACATTTAAAGCTTTTCGTGCCAACAGCTCCCATATTCCAGAGTTAGAACCTTAGGAGAGGATACCAATACTTAATGACACAGGCCGGAGTGGTTCAGTGACGCAGTAGTTGATACGCATGCACTAGCGCTGTTGGCCTCAATGCACAGCTGATCGACCCCTTACTTCAGGGTGAAAGTAGAACAAACCAATTTGAACTCCTTGGGCCATTGACTCCATGCATGACGGTCCCCAGTCCTCGGTTAAGAAAACTGCAACAGCGTGGACCAGCATGTCTTCGTACATGATCTATGGTCAACAAACTAAACTTACTGAAGTGTGGGACTGCAACGGACATCCTCATGTTCTTCCTCTTACATGTCCTTCCCCTATACGGTAAACATTGTCCTGGTTGGTAGCTGTTAATTCTACCTGCCTCTAGAGCCTGTTGAACATCTACGCACTAAACTGAAACATCACAAGATGTCTGGGTGGAATGCGAATAGCTATTGGAAAGGCATATTGGTAAAAAACGGCGCAAGAATATGGCGTGAAAACCATTGTGGCATCAGTCCGGTAGTCGCACCATCCAGGGTACTCTTTGACATTATTTTGCATAGGTGGACTGATTACCGGGAGACATTCGTGAAAATAAAGCTGGGCTTTGCCCTGGTTGTGGTTTTATCCACGATACAAGTCTCGGAGCAGGGCCAGTTCTTCAAACTTAATCGATGGTCGGTTTCCTTGAACTAGGGGCTGCTTTTGACTCCGTCTACCATCAGAAATTATGTGCTTTCTGGAGGTCGAATATACCTTAGATTTCCATATTTTACGTGGACACGATATCTAAACGCGCGTGGGTGCATACGGGTATACAGCAAATTGTCGTCTCAGTTCACTAAGTCCAGTGGTGTAAGGAAGGGCTTTCCTCTCTCACCGCTCCTCGTTTTTGTTATCGAAGTGCTTTTGAGTGCATAGCTATACATTTTCGTTTGATAGTTGGGATGATTTGACATCAACCCAGTGCCTGGCTATATATGCCCTGTTCTCCCCTTTTCTGGTCACTGAAACTGTTGCAGCTGAAAACTGCTTACCCTTGGTACCTGGTTTTTCTCCGAAAAACTAAGCTGTTGGTGATATACTCATCCACCGGACTGAGACTATATGTACGCGATGACGCACCAGAATCATTCGAATTGTATTGTATACGTGAATTTCCACGATCGATTTCGTTCGTTATTTTCCCCACTAATCTGTCTGGTCCATCCACGTTAGCAGCGCATTGTGTAAAATAGGGTTCGTTTCTAATCCGGTGTTCGTCTTCGAAGGGGTTTTGTCTGAGGCTACTTTATTCATTCTGTTGAATTACTTATGTTTAAAAAACATGTTGCAGACGCTCTTGTTACTTGCGGCATAACGCCAAACCAATGTGCAATTTTCGGCATGGTGAATCGGAAGAAAATTCAGCTGTCCTTTTTCATGCGTGATGAAGTTGAACCGAGGAATCGGTCGGGTGTGAATGCTCTGCAGTATGATGTACATAACGACCGCCTATTCACCGCCGGTCGGGACTCCGTGATCCGGATTTGGAATGCACAAAAGCCGAAGGTAAATGTGAAAATAACAACTACTGCTGTCTGTTTTTAGGATTCACTGATGCAATGCATGGAACATCATGCTGATTGGGTGAATGACATTGTGTTATGTTGTGATGGGAAGAACCGTGAGTTTTTTGTAGCTTGATGCTTTGCTTTTCACGTCAAAATTTTCTGCATCATTTTTACCAAATTATATCTGAAGACTGCAATTTCTCCTTGTCCGTAGTTAAAATAGCACACACGAACATAAAACATCATTGTTTATGTCACTGCATTTCGGATGAGTTACCTAACAACTATAGAGATGTTCCGTGACGCCGAAATGAAGGTCAACCATTCCATAATACTCAGTCCTTCAGTAGCTGTCACTATGCGAACGCCATTCCTATCAGGTTCTAAGCCTGCGTCGCTTTCTTCACGAAATTACTTGTGTGATGTTCAGTCAATGTCCGCGTTTACCTGTATAAAATTTTGGTTAGAGTAAATTGGACAAACTGTCACCAGTTCTGCAACGAAAAATTTCTGTCATATCTGACATCCGTACCGATTTGAATCTGGTGCTAACTTCAATATTTGATACTGGTGGGTGTCAGTTTCATCGTCATCATCATTAACAGCATGACATCAGTGTTCAACACCGATGCTTCACTGCCGTACAACCGTGATTTATTTGAAAACCTTATGGTGAGGAAAAGAATAAAGGTGGACGGGAAAGGGGCTTAGTGCAAGCTTACTGCAATCATTCCGAGAGGCCTACATATTCAAACACTCATTCAGGCAATCTGAATAGAAAATGACAGCATCCGCGAATCGTCTGCCCCGCAATGCTCTTTTCGCTCAGCCTTGTGCATTTGAAAATTATTGGGAGTTAGATAGTGTATGGCCTGGTAACGAATTATAAAAACACTCATCAGTAAACTTAGTCGGCCGCCAGAACACAACACACAAGGGGTTAGTGATACTGGCAGACATGGCTCAATTACGCAATCAGTGGCGCTCATTCATCAAAGCTATCACCTTCAGTTCGCAGAAACCCAGTTCCCAGACTAACTGAACACGCTACCGCTTAATGTGCTTCCTGCCCAATTGTATTTATCACACTCTCTCCCTTCCTGGTGATCGAAACCGTAGCAGCTGAAAGTAATGTACCTTTGGTACATAGCTTATAACTTACAGTCCCAATTAGACTAAACTGATGTTTCCACCATATGCAGTACTTCGAAGGCACCTATTTTTCTGCGTAGAGAGCTTTTGAGGGTCTTATACATGCGGTGGCCATATCTGTGAACTATAGTGTGTGACAGGTCGGAACGCCGCATTGTGCAGTCAAGCTGATATCACGCTGGCGTCACAAATATCGACGGTTAGCAGACGCTGCCCTGGCCTTCCTAATCTGGGATTGTTTTCATCTATCGCCAGCGGTCTGGGACTTATTCGGTTAGAGTGACGTATCTCCCACCTTCATCGGCTCACCGTATCGGAACAATATCCGGGATATGCTGAAAACTTCGGATCCATAATTCTGAGGTGAATCTGACGTCACACGCCTACAGCACACGGGCTATAAGCACCTGACCGTATAAAGGTGAAAACAACCTAGCCGTTATTGGCCCATGACTCTGCGTCTATTCACATGTCCATTCACATTTAAAGCTTTTCGTGCCAACAGCTCCCATATTCCAGAGTTAGAACCTTAGGAGAGGATACCAATACTTAATGACACAGGCCGGAGTGGTTCAGTGACGCAGTAGTTGATACGCATGCACTAGCGCTGTTGGCCTCAATGCACAGCTGATCGACCCCTTACTTCAGGGTGAAAGTAGAACAAACCAATTTGAACTCCTTGGGCCATTGACTCCATGCATGACGGTCCCCAGTCCTCGGTTAAGAAAACTGCAACAGCGTGGACCAGCATGTCTTCGTACATGATCTATGGTCAACAAACTAAACTTACTGAAGTGTGGGACTGCAACGGACATCCTCATGTTCTTCCTCTTACATGTCCTTCCCCTATACGGTAAACATTGTCCTGGTTGGTAGCTGTTAATTCTACCTGCCTCTAGAGCCTGTTGAACATCTACGCACTAAACTGAAACATCACAAGATGTCTGGGTGGAATGCGAATAGCTATTGGAAAGGCATATTGGTAAAAAACGGCGCAAGAATATGGCGTGAAAACCATTGTGGCATCAGTCCGGTAGTCGCACCATCCAGGGTACTCTTTGACATTATTTTGCATAGGTGGACTGATTACCGGGAGACATTCGTGAAAATAAAGCTGGGCTTTGCCCTGGTTGTGGTTTTATCCACGATACAAGTCTCGGAGCAGGGCCAGTTCTTCAAACTTAATCGATGGTCGGTTTCCTTGAACTAGGGGCTGCTTTTGACTCCGTCTACCATCAGAAATTATGTGCTTTCTGGAGGTCGAATATACCTTAGATTTCCATATTTTACGTGGACACGATATCTAAACGCGCGTGGGTGCATACGGGTATACAGCAAATTGTCGTCTCAGTTCACTAAGTCCAGTGGTGTAAGGAAGGGCTTTCCTCTCTCACCGCTCCTCGTTTTTGTTATCGAAGTGCTTTTGAGTGCATAGCTATACATTTTCGTTTGATAGTTGGGATGATTTGACATCAACCCAGTGCCTGGCTATATATGCCCTGTTCTCCCCTTTTCTGGTCACTGAAACTGTTGCAGCTGAAAACTGCTTACCCTTGGTACCTGGTTTTTCTCCGAAAAACTAAGCTGTTGGTGATATACTCATCCACCGGACTGAGACTATATGTACGCGATGACGCACCAGAATCATTCGAATTGTATTGTATACGTGAATTTCCACGATCGATTTCGTTCGTTATTTTCCCCACTAATCTGTCTGGTCCATCCACGTTAGCAGCGCATTGTGTAAAATAGGGTTCGTTTCTAATCCGGTGTTCGTCTTCGAAGGGGTTTTGTCTGAGGCTACTTTATTCATTCTGTTGAATTACTTATGTTTAAAAAACATGTTGCAGACGCTCTTGTTACTTGCGGCATAACGCCAAACCAATGTGCAATTTTCGGCATGGTGAATCGGAAGAAAATTCAGCTGTCCTTTTTCATGCGTGATGAAGTTGAACCGAGGAATCGGTCGGGTGTGAATGCTCTGCAGTATGATGTACATAACGACCGCCTATTCACCGCCGGTCGGGACTCCGTGATCCGGATTTGGAATGCACAAAAGCCGAAGGTAAATGTGAAAATAACAACTACTGCTGTCTGTTTTTAGGATTCACTGATGCAATGCATGGAACATCATGCTGATTGGGTGAATGACATTGTGTTATGTTGTGATGGGAAGAACCGTGAGTTTTTTGTAGCTTGATGCTTTGCTTTTCACGTCAAAATTTTCTGCATCATTTTTACCAAATTATATCTGAAGACTGCAATTTCTCCTTGTCCGTAGTTAAAATAGCACACACGAACATAAAACATCATTGTTTATGTCACTGCATTTCGGATGAGTTACCTAACAACTATAGAGATGTTCCGTGACGCCGAAATGAAGGTCAACCATTCCATAATACTCAGTCCTTCAGTAGCTGTCACTATGCGAACGCCATTCCTATCAGGTTCTAAGCCTGCGTCGCTTTCTTCACGAAATTACTTGTGTGATGTTCAGTCAATGTCCGCGTTTACCTGTATAAAATTTTGGTTAGAGTAAATTGGACAAACTGTCACCAGTTCTGCAACGAAAAATTTCTGTCATATCTGACATCCGTACCGATTTGAATCTGGTGCTAACTTCAATATTTGATACTGGTGGGTGTCAGTTTCATCGTCATCATCATTAACAGCATGACATCAGTGTTCAACACCGATGCTTCACTGCCGTACAACCGTGATTTATTTGAAAACCTTATGGTGAGGAAAAGAATAAAGGTGGACGGGAAAGGGGCTTAGTGCAAGCTTACTGCAATCATTCCGAGAGGCCTACATATTCAAACACTCATTCAGGCAATCTGAATAGAAAATGACAGCATGGTCGCCACTGACATCGGTTAGCAGCCATATCTTGCAGCGTCTCCAACCAGGTGCAATGAGGATCACGCGGTCCCCATCCTGGAAGGCGAGTAGCATAGATAGCACTTAGGTGTTTCGTGATCTCTTTCCTACTCCTCTTCCAAGTCACAGGTTGGCCACCTCTCTGCATCCGCCACTCTCGGGTATGAATCCTGGAAGGCGAGTAGCACCGATAGCACTTAGGTGTTTCGTGATCTCTTTCCTACTCCTCTTCCAAGTCACAGGTTGGCCACCTCTCTGCATCCGCCACTCTGAATCGGGTATGAAAAAACAGCACTCTCTCCGGCAAGCAGTGATTAGGCATACGCAGCACATGTCCCAACCAACGCAACTTCTGGTGCTGGACACATTCTATAATGGACTTACCCACTGCACAAACGAAAACTCGATTCCTAATTGCCTCGTTGCGGACACTCCAACACCAACCCACAAGAGCTATAGTTCTGAGACAACGATGTCGAACACCTTGAAGGCGTCTCAGTTCCGCTGCTCGAACAGGCCAAGTCTCACAAAACAGCCCGCACTGTAGCTTGATACACACGTCCCTTTAGATTCAAGGATAAACCACTCTAACGCCATAGGTGTCTCAAATCAACAAACGCGACCCGAGCCTTGTGTGTTGATCTTCGTGTGTTGATCTCATCTGTTACACTACAATCAGAACTAATACAACTTCTAAGATAACTTCCAGTACCCCCTGGATTGTAAGTGACGTGTTCAGTGACTGAATGTCCACAAGCATGACCTTACACTTTGTGGGCGCAGAATGCATACCAAAGGACGGGATGACTTTGGTCAGTTCATCCAAAATCACCTGTGCCTTCTATCCGAAGATGAGAACGATGTCTGGATATTCCAGATCGAGGAGGCTATCATCACATGCTATTTGAACACCAGTGTTTTGGAGACTTTTCAGCGTTCGTCTCATGATTCCATCGACTACAAAGTTAAACAGGAGTGGAGAGAGTGGGCACCCCTGACGAACGCCACATTGTGTTCAAAAGCTTTTGGAGAATGCCGTATGGTCTCACACTTCTGGAATTATGGGAATACAAAGAGCTTATTATGTTCACGAACTTCCGGGGAATTCCTTGGTGGGCAAGCGTGTCAAGCAGAACAGACCGGTCAGCCGAGTCGAATGGGCCTATGAAATTCAAGAACACTAGAATGGTGGGTCGCTTATACGCATACTTTCTAGCACCTGACGGAGTGCGAAGGGTGTGTGATTGGACGCAGTCCCTACTAGACCGGAATCCCGCTTGCTGCTCTCGAGCCACCATAAGGCGACGAAGCACAAGTGGCGCCAACAGTCTCGTTAGGACCGGGGTCAGGCTAATCTCCCTGTAGTCGCCACACTCACTACGAGCCCCTTTCTTGAAAATGGGCACTTTCACCGACTTTCCCAAGTTGTCTGGGACAGACTCCTCTTTCCAAACAAGCAAGCAGATCAGACAAGCGCTGACTGAGGACTTCACTCCCATCTTTGAACAATGCGGGTGGGAGTTCGTCCGGACCAGAGGCACGGTTGCACTTGAGAAAACATATACAGTCATAAACTTCAGAGGGCGTAAATGGCCCCATGTTCACCGTCTAGGGTTCTACTTCACCCGTGAGCTCTACATGTGTGCCAGCTGGTGGCCACGACAGTCGTTGCTCGAAGTATTCAGCCCACCGATCAAGGCAATTCTCCCTTATTCGAGATGATCGTTCCATTCTGATGCCTGATGGCTTCACTCACAAGTGGTTTCCGGCGACCGGTCGCACGGGTCAACTGAAATAATTTTCGGGCACTACCAACTTCTTTGGCCTCTTCCATTTCTTTGGCTATATAGGATGTTTGTACTGCATAAAAACAGCCTGCGATCAACACACAGCTGAAGCAATCGTTCGCCTTTGTCCGTACGTACCGAGTTCAGTCCATGTCGACCTCCTAATTGAATCTCAGATACGCTAAGCCTGCCTACTTGTGCATTCAAATCTCCGGCAACCACAACGATGTCTGAGCTTTTAGCTCTCCGCAGCAGGGCATCCAGGACGTTACAAAACCTGTCTTTGACGGCGTCGGAGTTACAGTTAGTTGGCGTAGGTAGACACGATAAGCCGACATCCATCAACTCCATGCTTGTGAGCCTCCTTCACATACTTTTCCAGACGAACCGCAGAGGGGCGGATGTCAACGGTATCCAGTGGAGCCGTCAGAGTGCGGACACTGAAGGCGGCCAGATAGATTCGGTGTCGAGGCTTGGAGATTGATCTGGAGATACCTGAGGATGTCGGCGCCATGTGATGAGCAGATGCTTCAGGCAAAACCGATGCAAGACGAACAGAGTCATCAGTCCCAAAAGCTGGACCTACAAGCGATGAGTTATTAATGGGGTATGGAGAGGGGGAAGAAAAAGTATGTGAAAGAGGAAGAAAGGAAGCGTCAGCAGTAGCCTGTTTTCGCTTACTTTGCTGCTCTATGCAGCGAGTAAGGCGACCCGGCTGATGGCACCACGCAACGGCGGATGTGGTGTGAGTTTATTTGTATATTTTCAGTTCATGATTGTGCGTGGACTGGGATACTGTCAGGGCGCCACACCTAGACAGGAGGATGATAAGGATCCTCAACCAAAGCCTTTGGCTCAAAAGCCTGACCACAAGGCAGCGGTGTTTGGCGGGAAATGCAAATGCATTACCATTTCTACGGAAAAAGTTGCTACATGTTCCAACCCCCAACCTGGAGGACCAGAAGACTCTTTGTCAGACCGTAAACCATTGACCAATCTGGTATGAGAGACTCTGAGTGTCCTGGGGACACCCCCAGTATAAGTCAGTGGATCGCTGAGTTGCGCGAACCTCCACACCACGGTGAGGTGCAGTCCCTTCGTGAAAATGGAAGTTTCACTGTCGAGAAAAGCCGTAAGATGAATGAGATACACACAAAAGTCACTTTATTCCACCACTTACTATGAACCAAGTGTCAACTGTATGAATTTACAAGGCTGATTAGAGGTGTCAGTTCCAGGATTTGTTCTACGATTCTCGCCCAAACTAACCACCACTAGAGCAGTGAGAATAGCCTGATACTCCATGGTGGATATGTTGCAAGACCGAATCCATTGTTCAGTCACTCATTAAAAGACAGTGTGTAACTGGTGGTGAACATTTAACTTCGACTTATTTCAACGACAGACATAGCTGGTGTCGGAACGGGACCCTAACCCATCCATAAGCTCACCAATTGCTTCTCAGGCATTTGTAGAAGGATAATTTCATTCCTGCTTAACTTTCTATCTCACTTTAACCATGTGCTTTAATCTCTTATCACAGTCATCTCCGCATCAAACGACACAACAGTCAAAGTTTGGAATGCCACCAAGGGCTTTTGTATGTCCACGTTGCGGACTCACAAGGATTATGTTCGTGTGCTTGCTTATGCTCAGCATCGTGAAGAGGTTGCCAGTGCTGGTTTGGATCATGCAATTTTTCTGTGGGACGTTCGGACCCTCACAGCCCTAACACCGACAAATAATACAGTAACAAGTAAGGTTATTCCCATGTGTGCCTCATTTTCACCTCATAGCCAGAGCTGACAATTCAGCCAATTATTAGGGAAGACGTGTACGCCACTGCCCAGTATGACAGGAGTGGTATAAATCGATTCGTCTGTCGTGTGTCTATGTGAGCTAATTTGTGATCACCGTGTGCCTTCATTCGCACGACTGTCCTCACTGTATGAAGCAGCTAGTTTTGTTTTCAGCAATATCTAAGTAACCAATGTATGTTGAAATCCCTGAGATTTCATACCTTAATCTTTGGGTCTTAATTACGTTTATACTTCACTCAGCGTCGTCGTTCACTGACAAAAAGGAGAGTATTTATAGCTTGGCTATGAATCCTTCTGGAACCGTGCTCGTTTCCGGTAGTCCTGACAAGTTAATTCGAGTTTGGGATCCCCGAGCTTGTCACAAGCTATTCCAACTGCGTGGTCACGCTGGAAATGTCCGCGCTCTCATCGTCCGACCTGATGGCCAAGAGGTTTGTAATTTTGCTTTATTATAACTCCTACGTGCACCTGTTAATTTGTGAATCACCAAGGATCTTGTGTGCCTCGGTGTTCGGTTTTATTACTTAATCCAAAAAGTTAGTTGAAATCGAACAGCAAACAGATTTGTTTTGTATGTGTACGCCAGTTGATCGGAATAACCGCTGCAGGACATGTAGTTGAGATAGCCGTACTCTACTGGTCCGTTGATGCTTCAATCTATCAGACGTTGGAGCGCAATCTAAGCCCACCAAATCGCCAATTAACTGTAAACGAGCACCGCTGTCCATAATTTGATACTTCCTTCAACTGCGCTGGAGGAGGTAACTATTCCTCGGATGGATGGAGATTTCGGCGGAGTTGTCATTTGTGTTTATGACACTTTGGAAGTGAAGATTGGGTGTTAAAACCCATGGGCAACATCAGACAGTGTCGTCATTTGTCACCTGATATTAGGCGTCTCTTAAACTGTATCACCATCCCATTTCTACAGCCGCTGATTAGGTAATGGTTTTGGGTCATCTGACATTCCCATCGCCATTCTCCCTTCAACTGCGAATTCTATGCATCTGCGATGTACTGTGGTGCCGTGTAAGCGGAAGTCAACATGTTTGTATATGAACTGGGGGGCAACGTGGATCAGTCCGACATCTATCCTTTTCAAGTTGAACCGTATTACCTTAAACAATTTGGAGGTGAAGGATACTTGCTTGAGTGGTCATGTACTGTGGGCTTTGTACCTGATACAATTTATGGTACTGATCGAACTGTTTGTTTGTACTACCGTCGTCCTGTCATAAGTCGAACGGCAAACTTACCAAGAAGATGGTGTTTCAGTGGGGATTTTTGTCTGTAACCTTATGTAAGAAGTTGGCCAAAGTCACCCAGCCACTGTTCACCACAACTAATGGTACCAAACACTGTATGGTAAGCTGGTACAACTTATATCCCTGGCTTATGTTTTACATGGCATCGCACTTGTGTACGGCGTTTCGGTCCAGCTTAGCTCTGTGGGACACGACCGCATTTCAGTACGAGGAGAAGAGTACTTAACGATTTATACCGACGCAGCTGGTTATGCATGTCGCTTGTCTTCGTATTTCCGTAGGCATTCGACGGCTGATACTCCAGCGACGGATTTGTCCAAGGAGCTGGTATAATACCCATAGGGTGTCAACTCATCGCTGCAGTCAGACAACAACAAATTGACGCCGAGATACATCACAACGTGGTTGCACTACCAAAGACCGAGATACAGTAGATGATTTATGACAGGCCTGGTAGCAAGTATTTTTATAGAAGTTTTACTATAAAGTCGTCATGCTTTGGGTTTACTGTCATTGTTTCGTTTTTTCCCCACAGGTTATTAGTGCAAGTTCCGATGGAACCATCCGCATATGGTCTCTGGGAATGCAGTGCTGCACGGACACTATTCGCGTCCACTCTCAGGGTGTTTTCACAATCCAGGTGCGCCGACTGCCTGCATTGACCCATTAGTCTTATTCTATCGCCCCAGTATACATTGTGCCTGTTTATCTGCACCAATACCATTTTGACCAATGGATTCCAGGACAAATTGAGCAAAAATTGTTTAGGTTTAGTTTCTACGCTTGTCGTGAGGTTGCTTTAGTCTTTCAGCCGTTATGATGCCTGAAATTAGATTCCGAATTGGATGTGGCATCTTTGAGATCTGCAAGCTTCTATTAGTCATCTGTAACAGGTTTTGTTTGTTTCAGGCAACTCAGATGACCGGTTTCGGAAGAACATCTGGCACCCTTCGTGTTTCTTCTTGGGTCTTATTTTTTCCATCGCCCTGGCGACTAAGTTTATTTCTTTCAACTTCCTTCAGCTTTCCATGTATATCTTCCGCAGTTGAAAACGCCAGATGGTGTTTATCTCCAACATAACACGTGATTTTGATTGACACTCACAATGACTGTTTATATATATCCATGCATTAGGATAAATCATGCGTGGCGACCTACCCGGTCTTGTACGACGTCGGCTCTACCAGACCATAGGTTTCTCCGACCTAGGATCATATCTCTGGTACGACCAAATTGACCTATTTTCTGAAGTTGTGGCAGAAAAGTATGGCTTTTTCAGAGCTGCGAATAGTTGGCTGCCCTGGTACTGTCTTATGGTGGAGGAGCCAGTCCACATTCTTGTCACATTATCAACGTTATTGCAAACACATCTACACTTTTTTCCGTTAGGTCAATGAAGCTTTGTGTTCGGCTGGTACGGATCGGAACATTTGGGCCACAGATCTGTCAAATCCGAATCGATCTGTGCTGCTTGGAGAAGAGTCTGATCCTGTGCTTCGAGTAAGCTTTCTTGGCATTGCCAATAGGTGTTTTGGATCGTTTGAATGTGTTCTATCGGTACACCTTCTTTAACATGATGAGAACATCGCACTCTTCAGTTCAAAGTTGTAATTAAAGTTCCATTCCAGAAAAGCCATCAAAAAGTGTTATCGGGTATTGTCTAGACGTAGCATACCACTCATCGGTTAGTAGGCATCTCTTCGGAGCTGTTTTACAAGCGCTAATGTAAACACGTCTGAGAAACTTGATTTTTTCAGGGAGGTTTTTCTTTATTTAACTAACTAAATGATCAGTTAAAGTGACTTCCACTTCGTAGTGTCATCAACATCGCCCACAGCGATACACTAGCAGTAGCTAGTGGCATCCAGCTCTCAGCAGTCCTTCAAAAAGTCTCTTGCCATGAACTTATACAAGACTGGTTCTCATCAGACTCCTACAGACTGGGGATATCTACAATTAAAATCTGAAATTACGGTTGACACTTCCTTCGCTTGAGTCATGAAGACGTCAGATTGATACAGCCGTTTCGCAAGTTTGCAAAACTTAACCTAGCACGCTCCCCCTCTTTTCTTCTCGGAGATGTTTATATGCCGCTTCACACGACATACTTACGCACCTAATAATTTTATTGTGACAAGATTCCCACTAACATATGCCCTCATCTTCGGTTACTCTCAGCTTTTGCTCGTCGAAACCCCTTCTAAATCTTGCCTGTGGACTTCGACGTGTAATTCGAACGTGAACAGATGGGTGAGTTCCTCGGGCATTTCTTCATAGTCTGTGTTTTTAACAGTAAAATTTGGTGATCGGATAACTGTTCTGTTATTAGTTTGCATGTGGATAGATAGTTGTTGGATTCTCGGTGAGACAATAAAGGTGTGGTCGGATCCAGAAAAGTTTAGGTATCTTACGTGTTTCTCTCTTATTGAGTCTCCTGAGGTGAATTGGACATGTGTTCAACAGTTTCAGGTTGTTGTTCACAAGACCGGTTGTCCACCCACCGTTCTGTATAGCTTGGAATTTAACGATAGACGTGAAGAGTGATCGAATTAACTGTTTACTTACCCAGGCACTTTAACGTTACGGGTAAGTTGTCCGCTTACTTTTGTTTTTTTTTCAAACTGGTAATCAATCCTCGTGGACGAGCTGATAATTGCCGATCCATAGGCCTGAAATAAATTTGTGTTGCGTTAGCCTAGACTGAAGTGATCAAAACCTTGTACAAACGTTGTATTCTTCGGGGATCGTGCACAGTGTTGAAGAGACTTAGAACCGGACACTCCCATCTGTGGGGCTCTACTATTAGCCTCTGAGCTTCAAGTGGCTGACTATCGTCAGGTTTCACGTAAACATAACAGCGTGCCACTGAAACTGGATTAGCAACATGTATACTCCAAAACAGCGGTCTTGATCGGGTCATCAAGTGATGACACTTCAGTTGGATTCCATGGAACTACTTTCTTCCTAAATAAATTATCAACCGGTTGAACACCGAAATCCACGAACAGCATGGCCCTGGTCACTTTCTATTCGCATTTTGCCCTGGTCCATCATTAGGACATCTTATTTGATCGCTTTTTTCCTATATAGGCAACTTTGTCGGGGTATCGCGAGCCTTTAGCTATTCCAAGTTCGAATAGTGTTTCTCAAGAGTGGCCAGATTTCTCTTAGTTACAGTGCGCTGCATGTTGTTTATTGTCTTCCTTTATTCCAGCCAATTTCCCCATCTGGCATGACTCAGCGCGGCTCTGTGGAGTCGCGAAGTTTTTCCAGCAACTATGATCCTCGAGAGTCTAATCCACCTGGTCCGGCTTTGTCCACTTCAAATCCTTCTGTTCGTGAGCCGATTCATCAGCATGCACTCAGGGGGCCTTCAACGGATACCAGTCATTTGCATAAAATGGAAATGTTGAAGCCAGATCTTACGATCCACGGTATGTTTTCATTGAGCTCACTTCACGACTTCGAACATGGTCCCAAATGCTTTGGCTGAAATTCATAACAGGCAGTACAGTTGCCGTCGCCCAGTTAAATATTGTATATTTGTAAATCAATTCGAGGACGTACGGTAAAGCACGGAGCAGGAGTGCCACCATCTTCAATAACAAGCGGTTATCGATGTCCTGTTTCTGAAGTAATTGGTCTTTTTCACGAAAAAACTTTCAAACCCTGCTCCTGTCGCAGATGAATTCCACCTGCCTACCGTTCCTTCTTCAGGCGGCACTTCTGTTATCCAGTATCACGTGTGCTCAGAAAAACGCTTCGTCCTTACCAAGGATACGGACGCTAACGTGGCTGTATATGACGTACTGAAGGCAAGTCTGTTTGCCACATCTTCCTTTGTATGATAACCAGTCCAGTAATGACCACTTTTTACCGTCCCACTAGTGATTCACAAACGATTCATCTGGCAAAATTGCGTAATTGGAGTCCGCGACTCCCTTTGGTCCTCGAGAGAGATCAAACTTCCACCAGTCACGGAAGCTCACCTTTGTGTATCGCAGGGTTTTCAAACGTGCACATATATCTTTTGCTTTATTTCAAGACTTGCCTCACTAGTTTCGCTCATTAATTTTGTTTATTCCCCGCCATCCGTTTGTCTCATTGTCTCCAGGCCCGTCTTGTAGAGAAGTTGGGTGTCGTGGACTTCGAAAATGAGATCAAGAAGCGCGAAAAATTCATCTACGTTCCAAACTGGTTCACAGTTGACCTCAAGTGTGGAGTGAGTTCAACGGGGCTTTCGAATTTTTATCTACTGATTATGAATGCTACCTTTTTTCTAACCGGGACTTGTACATCATAAATACTGATCACCACCGCATACCTCGGACGAATGGGGTTCGAATCAAGTGCACTTGAAGTGAGGACGGCGAAAAATGTTCGTTCTCTTATGACATCATGTAACAAAGTGTTTTCACTCGTTTACCATACATTCGTTTCATCTATCCAAATTTTTCCTCCGCGTGATGTTCCGATTCTTCTTAGATATGCTCTTTTTTCGTACACCTGCGGTACGCCTGTAATATATTTTCCTTCTTATCCTGAAGCCAGTATGGGACGGTACACATGTGCCGGGTGAAATTCCGAAGTCAGCCTCAGTTTTGTCCAGTATATGCACGTAGCATAATCAACCTTGGAACATAGGCTACTCATCATAAGATACCTTGGTTATACGTCCCGTTGTACAATTAAACTGAGTCAGCATGAGTCGTAATGCAAAATGCTAATGCATTTTAGGTGGAGAACCGCGTATTTGAAACACCGGTCTTCTTGAACCTGAGTTCGCCCAAGGCGAGATTGAGTGAAGTGATATAGGGATGTTGAATGACGTATGAGTGATACTCATCAGCTAAGTTCCTTTTGAAACGCTCAGACGGATAAATCACTTGCTCTAGTGCGAAGGTAGCCTATGTTAGATCGTAGCGGAGCGGCTTACAAAGAAGTGCGACTGGGTGATCGAATATCCGAAAAATCAGAAGCGATATAGCGTGGTTATATCCGATTGTGTAGTCATTTATTCCGGGTTTGCTTTACGGTACAGGATTTAGACGGTGTTTGCGAGAGGCAGAATGAGGCTACAACTTCCAAAACACCCGTGACTGAGGTGTATCCAGAATAAAGAACCACTGAACCTGAAAGCTTGTATTTGTTTGCAGAATCTTAATTCATGGGGAATGAAAAAAGCACCTTCGCTGTGAAGGGCTCACATGCAAGCTAAATGGAACGGCCCGCAATTTGTGTCAAGGATTGTGGAATACCAGACTCGTTTATAAATCTGGATACTCCAGCTAGAGCCGCACGGCGCACACATCTTCAAAAGCTTAACATTTCTCTCACCTGTCTGTTTATCCAACCTATACGCTACATTTCCGTACGGATCCACATGTTTGCATGCGCATCTGATCGGCGTGTCATTACCCGATGATGCCGTTTTCAAGCTTAAGGGTGCTGTCGATAAGATCCTATTTTTCTGTCTATCCTATATCGAGGTAATGAGCCGGCGCAAGTGGACCAGGTGGAAATGTGGTGCACACACAACACGGTTGTTCCGAATCAACCTCGCACCGTGCGCCAGTCTCGGAATATTTTGAGCGGTTATTCTGCCCTCCGAGTTTTGTGGACCCAAACAAAATATTTCAAATAGTAGGTACTACTCGCGTGTGGTAGATAGAAAAAAGACCAGCTTATCAGTATTTCACATTTGCAATCCAAAAAGATAACGAACCTTATCAGAATCAGTAAGTTTCCAAGTCTCAAAGCGCCGTCAACTATTGAAAATCTTTTGACGACTTTTTGACTGGTCCTAACTGACTGGTCTGAAACGACGCCACTCATCAGGAATGAGACAGTGATACCTTACTCCCCGAGCCATCGAGTTAGGTCAACCACATTGAGCCGAACAGGTCAGACTATTGAGTCACGGGCTCCGAGAAAGGTCCCTAAAGAAAACCCTACTACCCGTTGCCTCGCGTTCAGACTATTGAATAAGATTCTTATGACAGAGTCTCCGAACAAAACCCTACATCCTTCCATTGCCTTGTGAGTCATACCTTTGAGTCAAAGGGTATCTGCTATCGTTTGCGCGCACAGTCCTGTGTCCACTGATGTCACCCTTGAACCTCTTCCCATCACACAACCAAACATTGCTGAGCCGTTTGACTGTCATCCATCTGACGGATGTGTCTTATGCTCCTCACTGCCTATTAGCAATGAACAAAATTACACCTGGCTAATTTCGCAACATGGCTCCTACATAGGAGCCTTCAACTTCCCTACTCTTTGTCAAATTGGTAAACAGGCAATGCTCGCTGAAACCTAATACTCCTGATTGATTCCAGGAAATCCATCATTAGGTAACGAGTACGGCGGTGCACGCATATTCCTCAAACGCCAACTAGTGAAGATTCTAATGAGAGACCGAGAATTCGAGAGTTGGAAAGGGATTTTGTTACCGGAAACAGCCGTGCCCTATATCAACTGATACGACCAACTAACCCTAGGGAAGCAACGGTCAGTGAAGCAAAAGTGAAAAAGGCGGTTCATTAATTCACTCGCAAGAACACCGACTGGAGAAATGGACCGACCAGTTCGAAGAACATTTTGGTTGGCATGCTGCCGCAAGGCCTCTGGAGATAGTGCGTACGGGCGAATGGAATGTAAACCTTAATCGCCTATCGGAAGAAGGAATAAAGTACGAAATATCTGCACTGAAACGTGAGAAGGCACCGGGTTCCCAGCCTCCAATGCGTCTGGGGTCAAAATGCTCCCAGGACACTCGCTCACAGATATCGAGTGCTCGGACGACGTAACTATTTTTGGGTGATACGAATAATATTAAATAATGTAAGTGATTCTGCATCACGGTGTGACATGCGCTTCGCATTTGCAGTGTAAAGTCTTGCTGCACGACTGGATGGGGTCGAACTCGAGCCTATTGCGAAAGAGCTTATTGAGGTAGCAGACAGATGTTTCTGCCTGGGCAGCTGTATCAATCCCGGTCGTCTAGCCAACGATGGCAGTCCTATCCGAATTTGGAAGGCCAAAGCAGTTTTCGTGAACCTACGTCGTATGTGGCCTAGGCGTGACGCCAGCTTATCCATCAAGGAGCAAGTCTACAATGCTGCATGGCGCTACTTATTATTATACGGGTTGGAAACCAGGCCGCTGCGTGCTGATGACGTCAAAAGACTTTCAATATTTGACCGTCGATTTCTTCGTAACATTACTTGAGTCTGTTGGGTGTTAACACCGGATCATTAATGTTGTAGTAGGTCGAATGTTCCTCGGAAGAAGTAACTCGCCCATGATAGGTGAACTGATCGCACTGGCGTGGCCAGGTGCTCCGCTTGCCAGTTGATCGACTTCTTCGTAAGGCTTTTTTCGTGTAACCGCATGAAAACGAGCCAGGGGAGATCAAACAATGACTTAGCAGTGAAGTATAAAAGCCATTAGCAGCAAAATTGGCAGAGTTGTTCGTTGCCTTATCTTTGGATGGGGACATTTCGAGGGTTACAGACATTGTCATACATGGCCCAGTCGCGCCCTTAATGGTGCTCGTGCGCCCAAGGTATTACCTGCAATGCATAACTACCCTCTCTATCTCTTACTAACAACCCTGTATTTACGCCTCTGGTGTGCAGCTACCTATCCGGTTTCCCTAAATCATTGTTGAACGAAACTGTATGGCAAGTTTGCAGTTCTTACAGCTGATGATGCTGATGATCTTGGCCTCCTTCCGCTTGCTGGTCGTAGTGAAATGAACTGAGATATACCCATCCAAAACGGTTAAAGACGCAACAACTGACAGTTTTTGCTCAAACTTACTGCATTATTTATCTAGTCAGTAAAATGACAGAAGGTTGATTTTATCCACGGAACTTCGTATTTTTCCGAAAAGACGAAGCTTATGTGCCTTAGCAAAGTGGGGCAAAGCCGTCCATAAATAGCGAACACATAGTTATGGTCCACGCATCGGGGAGCTATTAAGTAAATCATCTTATGTAAAAAATACCTATTCCTGGAACCAAGAGAAATAATCAGTGTTGTGTTCAACTTGGAGGCGAGCGTTGGAGATTTTGCATAGTTCAATTATTTTCCGGAAATATTCAATTATTTACCTTGTTTGTTCATAAAACCCGCGTAGAGCTTGATGTTGGTTGAGAGACAAAATTTTCACACCCATTTTCGATCCTAGTTTCCTTTCGACTGAGCCCCCAGCTAAGCAACACGAAGCGAACATTAACTAAGATGTTCCTGAGGGCATTCCTTAACAGAGGATACTATGTTTTGTTTACTACCACCTCAAGACTTCGGTTTCCTCCACTGTTCTTGATTCACTGGTATCATTTTATTCAGCGAGCATGGCCTACAGAATAGTGAAGTATGGAGTCTGCAGTCATTCTCACACAGCTTTAGAGACGTTTGTTGTTACATTCGGTTAGCTTGTTCCGTTATAATCGTCTGACAAGTATTAGGGATACAGCGCAGGTCTACTGAATGACTGCTCAGTATGTCCAATATGTTTGTCCAAATTACACATCCTTCTCACTCACAGATGCCGATTATCCATTTGGATGAGACAGATGGCCTCTCGGCCAACATAACTCTCGCTGATGCCTGCCTTCTTGATGAGTTCGAACAGTGCGATGCGTCGGATAGCCCAAGTCCGGACACTAAAGGTACACCTTTTTCTTCTAACTGATGCTTTTCTTGAGATGTCTGATTGTTTATTGCAAGAATACTGAGCGACTTCAAAACTTAATTTCTAAATGATATATTTATATTCCATTTACCTACGGAGAAGCTAGGCTGTATTGTGCCAGTCACGTTGTGAATGATTTGCCATAACTCTGTGTGATCTGCAAAGTAACGTCCATACCTCAAACCAAAGCCAACTTTTTCAAACGTTTATTTTCTCGTGTAGTGAACACCAAAAAATGCCCAAAGGCCAAGTACGTTACCTCCTATTTAAGCAACGGATACATTCTGAAAAGGTGAAATCCAAAACGCGCCACCGTAAGCTGGCACTCAGCGGATGCCAGTGCCCGATTTGATGCTTGACTGACCAGCAGCCCTATCTTATGAAGTAGGCTTATAGGCCGTTATAGTACCCAGTTATGGGCTTCAGATTTGGGGTTCAGCCTGACAACAATCGACTAAATGTTGGATTTTCTTGTTTAGCTGAGCTGACAACAGTTGTGGTTAACGTTTCAGCTATCCATACCCATCAACACTCCACCCCGTTCACCGAGCTTGTCAAATCGGTTAAAAAACGTTCCCTCATAATTCACTCAACACAGCAGGGTACCGTCGGCCGCATGAGTTGTGGCTTGCCATATACCGAGACAGAGTCTGTAAGCTGGTTACATAACCCGGTGAGCAGGTCAACCCAGTCTCCCGAAGCTCCACAGCATCGTCAATACATATCGTGCTTATTGTGTGTTCGAGTCACGCATCAGCCATACGGAGTTGATGACGTGCCTCGTGATACTGTGGCAATGATGTCCTAGATCAGGGTGCTGGAAACCTTTTTAATCACAGGCCCGTTCACCATATCGACATGGGTCCGCGGGCCGGGTGAAAATGCACAAATGGATGATTTATAAATGATACTGACACAGAATTACGATCAATAGACGAGATGTGTTTTCTTGACCACTGGGTAACGAATCCTCCATTCAGACTACTTGTTTTAATGCTTCGCTACTACTCCATACTGACTTCACCTCACTTGTTGTCCTGGAGTTTCGCCCGACAGATCATGTGTTTGGTGGAAGAAAGAACAAATACTCAGTAGTAGCAGAATGGTTCACAAGACATCACCGATTTTAGTTTAGAGACCTTCGTCCTGCCATGTTCGGATGGCATGCTGCATTCTGCTGTAGTTCCGTTCGCGTCATCAGCTCACATTCATTTCCCTTTGGTGCTTGATATGCTTAGTGTTTTACATAAAGGTTTTTTGACAGCATCCATATCTGTTTTGGATTTCAGTAAATTATGGCGTCCTACTTCTTCGTTCTCTCTTTGCCCGTTGGCCAAAAGCAAACGCCTTCGCTAATTTAGAAAACGGTCAGTCACCTGCGTATTTCTTACGACCGTTCTTGCCTCTTTTGTGTATTCTAGCTGAGGTTTTCTTCGTTATCATCGATGTTCCAATGTAATTAATGTTTTATGTTTCCACCACGATATTTTCACCATAAACAAGGATGCGGGAGTCTAGGCAGTGTCAATATTCATTCTCTACTGCTGTCTCACTGTCGAGTCTTTACGTAAAAGCACGCGCCTTCTTTATAACGGTATTACTTTGTGGCTAACGATGGGAGATTCCTGGATGTCACCAAATGTTTCATACGGAAAACTACTGTTTCAGTCCATATGGACATTGTGCCCTGGCGGAGCACATTTATTGGTCGAACTACAAAGCGTGTACCCGAGAAGTGCACCTCCACAGTTGGATTTCACTACGTGGAGACATGAAAAATAGACATTCATCATCAACATCATAAAAATAGGGATTCAGTTGAGTCTCCCGTGAAAATTACTATGCTAACGGGTGTATTTTGCGGAAAATACCAATCTTCTCGTGTTAGAACTCCATCTTTTTATAAGAATCTGATTAAGATGTTTAAGCTGGAGGTTTAGGAGGCTTGGATTGTCTTGATAGAGATCCACGGTTGTTAAGATCTGTTGAAAAGCGTGTTCAGCGCTTTGCGTCACGTGTCAGAGGTTGAACATCCCTAGAATCTTCTCAGCCCCACATCAATTCATCTTGAGTCATCGAGACACTTTAAGATCACTTCCTGGCCATTTCGAAGATGTCTCCAAAAGATACCGACAAAGCACCAGGATATCGACTGTCATTTCGATTTCAATCACTGCATAATTTGTGGTGCAAAGCAAAGCGAACTGACTGTGGGAGATCGACAGACTTCGTGCATCTATCTCGTGGCCGCTGTCCCACAATTATCTCAATTGGACGGACCTTATGACGAAGACGAGCACCGTATATACCACCGTCTCCAGCCTGAGGAAACTCCTTTTCACAGGACCTGTTTTTCATGATTTCCCGTAATTGCTTCGATACTCCGCAGAATGAGGTTCATTGTGTATCCGATTAACCATCGCATCATTCCACTGTCGAAAGCCTTCAGAAACGATGTTCTTTCCGTTCCACGGCATGACTACGCAAGCGATGTACCCTAACAAATTCACTTCTTACGCAACCAAGCCTTCACAACGTGTTTTAAGAAGCCATTCCGCAATGTATCTACGGTAAACGGATAAAACTACCTTTCCGTCACGTTTCCTATGGCTTAGAGAAAGGTATCTTGATAAGTATTCGGACAATAATCAAACCACTTTTCGGCACCCTCGTTCTCCGTTGTGGCTCCGACTTCTTTTCTTGCCCTTGTTCTTCTTCGTACCCTTATAGTCTCTGGTAGCTCTTATATAAATGCTGTCGGCCACTTTTCAAAACCCAAACCGAGCTTTCAACCGACCTGTCTTTTCTAATCCTCAGCCCGACATGACCCACTGACGTACAAGGTTCTCGGCGTGCCTGATCACACTCCAGTGATTTTAAGGTAATTTCAATGCGTATTTTGTTCATTTAATTCCCCTGACCTCCTAGCAGTCTACCTCATCACTTTGTTTTCCCTACGTTTTCTAGCGAGGGAACTGGACGTGCTCTTATACGCTTCTTAGTACGTGACGCGGCTCCACTAAATGAACAACTGATGATTTGTGACTCCGTGCCGGACTGGATACGTGATATTGTTGTGGACGTAGGTCTCATTATTGCCGTCCCCTTCTTACACGAATAAGTGTCATTTCATTCAATCGATAAGATTTTTGGCCATAAATAGACGATGCTACGTAGGCTTTGCCGTGAACAAGTACCAGAACAACTACTGGAAATTGAGGATTTAACCGTCTCCTGAAGTGCTACCACCTTGATTGAAATAATCTTACTTGTCTAATGAAATGAGATTCAATTTTTCAGGGGAACAATTAAAATCAGTCTCTCCCATGTGAGTGAAGGTGTCTTGTCACCAAGGGGTGTTGGAAAACTGAGTGGTAACCTCATGCAAATCCTAGGAATTAGCAGAATGTCCACGTGCTGTCTTCTGAACTGTGGTATCTGTTGGTAAGCATTTTCTAAGCAAGACAATTCATATGGTGACTTTGGGTTCATTAGATCGCTCCATGGAGGTGACAACTTTTGCCCAGTCTTATGGGGTCGCAGCCACCTCGGGAACAGCCTGGGTTATAATCCCGTTAGTGGGGTCTCTACTGGGACATACGTACTTAAACACTCAATGCGTGAACCGTGCATTCTGGTCTTTGTTAAGGGATCGGAATTTTCCAGAAATACCAGTGGCAGATCAGGCTTCTCAGCCTCATTCCGTAGTGGTCTTACTTTGGGTGTGGCTCCTTCAGTGAGAAGCTTATCAGGGGTATTATATATATATATATATATATATATATATATATAATGCGCAACATACGACACAAAGCTCTGTGTTCACGGTTGGTATTTGGAGCCCCACAAATTGCTAATAGCATGAAAGCGCTACCGTTTGCATGTTGACCGCAGCCGTTGCCAAAACTGATTCCTAACCGGTTGTCTCAACTTCCCTCAGTTATGCTCGCGCTGCTGCCCCCAGTACTTTTTCTTGATAGTCTTAACTACACATATTAGTACGAGCGGAAAACCTGATACCTTGTCGGCTCAGTTTTATCTTTTCAACCTGGTCATACGCCCTTAGATGTGAAGGTGTTTTGAATCTGAGTTGAATTCGACAATGTTCCAGTGTGTTGAGCAGGCAGGCCCTGTATAATTCTCAACCGCATGCTAATTGTTTTGGCCCGGTTAGATTTGACGTAGGTAGTGACGCACACTTCACTGGGGAATCGGTTACTTAGGAGATTAACAACGAGTTCTACGATAACGCTATGTATGACGATACGGAGTCTTAAGGTGTAGTGTACTGCTCAATGGCCGTAGAGATTGATCGGTGATAACTGCCAAACAGACAGCCTTGTTTGGCCTCCATGTCCCCATAGTATATTTTCCACCAGAATAAAGTTTTAAATAAGTTACTCCGATTTTATGACTGTGTTCTCAATCATGAACACTGATGGCGCTCTCAGTTATGAGCGATGTTATTGATCGATAGTTTCTTTCGTTGACCACACAGAGACGGATGCCGAAATCAACTCGTATTGAATTTTTCCTGCTCCCGGGGGTGCGTGAGTACAACGAGAAAGGCCAGTGGTAGGTTACTTTTCCTGGGTTGTTTTCCAACTTTTTAATAGTACTGCTCATACCAAGATGGACGACAGAATGTTAGTGATAGGTCTGCCAAAATATCCATATTATCATCATCATCATCATCATCATGGAGATCACCAAAGCAATATCTTGAGAAATGTCTCCTAGGTAGATTCTTCTGTGAATTCGGATAGTTTTTAGGTGACATTCTTGTCCAATTCCTATTCGTTTATTTGTGTGATGATTACAGACTACAGTTAGCCGTGGTTGAAGGCAAGTGGGGAACGGAAACCCAATTTTGTTTGTGACTCCATTGGCGTCTAGTTTCACAATAAATCGTCAGTTGTCCTCAGGTCCCCTTACTGGCGACAGCACCAATCTTCTTGTACGTTTCCAGTTTGAAAGACCAAATCTAAATGAGATAGCTAATGATGAAGTAGCTTTCAGAATAAAACAAGTGATGTTTTATTGTGTTCCCTTCTTTTCCTGATCCTTCTTCAGCAGTTTCCTATGACCTGTAGGCGCTGAGGATTCTACAACCGCTCCGTGGATTTTTAGTGCTCCACCGTTTAAATAATGGCCGTACTGGAGCCGCCTGAGACGTGCCACTTTAGAGGATAAAAGACAGGCAGCTGCTCAGACAACAGAGTCTGAACTCGCCGTATAGCTTCAGCGTGTATCACTGGGTGATTATTGAATTCTGCTTTGTTCCCATGAATTATCTAGTGGTCACCAGCTCTACTAAATTCCCATTTACCGCGCCAGAGAACAAACTCCCGTTACTTCATTGCCTTTTGTTGTATTTCATTTCCAGCAAGATCGTGCCGCTTGTGTCGATGAAACGCGACTGTCTTTCAGCGAGTGATATTCTACTGATTCGTAAAGTGATGGACTACGTTTATCAACGGCTCGTCAAATTAGCCGAAGCATGGACCGATACGAATGCAGCTACCACCGGCACTAATGCAATGCCTAGTCCTTCTTCTGGCCGCAATGCAGGAACCTTATCGTCTTATGCCAGTGGGGATCGATTTGGTCAAGGTTCGTTTGTTTTTTGCTTTCCAGCTCCTCTTCCAATTCTTGAGTCAACTCATAAGCACTACCTTCATTGGTCATCTCCAGTTAGGTCGATTTGGGTCGAATAGGCAACCCGTGGGGAGTCGTAAGTCTCTATATGATAGCTCCAGTGCCCCCAAGGGGCAAGCTCTTTTGAGATTGACACTCTGGTCTTAATTTCTGTTCTTATTTTGTGTTCAACATAACGATGGACATACTCGAATTATGAACTGAGAAATACACCGTTCCTTTTACTGTACTTTGGAAACCATATCGGGCTTGATATTTCCTCAACTTTTCTCAGATTATCAGGCGAAGTGACTTCATGTAGCCTTTGGCTGTATTGTATGTGCAAAGCTAGCATCCGTCATGAGTCTTGATTATGGGTGGTGTTACCTGACCCTCAGACTGATGACTCACCTACTGAATTGGATATTTACTTTTACTTTCACTCGTTGATTAAAAGATGCGACTTTTCTGTGGCTTTCTGTCGTTGTTTTGAACCCGTAGGCCGCAGTCTTCGAAACTCCGGGATGCTACTTATCTAATATACAGAAATACAAGGTTCCGTTTTCCGTTTACTTTACTGTATGAACTCCTCAGACCCCCGACTTTAGCTGAGGGCATCGTAAATGGTGCACTCCGTTTTATTCGACGGTTTACCTTATGGAATATAGAATAGCATTTTCCACCCTTTCGGCGTTCACAGCATCCAGTGTGTCATCCAGGCACATGCTAGTCAACCATATGCTCCATTTATTCATGCCCCGTAAGTCTACTTTAATCGTGTTGAGTTTTGTGGAAGCTCCAGTAACCGTTTTTGGTTCCTTACCTCTTCATACCTTTTTCCCTTTGCTGTGTATCCTGTTTGCTTCGGGTGTTTCCATTCCGTCCAACTCTGTGTGACCCCCCTTCTTCTTAGCAGTTGACCCTGTGAACTCCGCAGCTCATTCTTTTGTCGAGAACTGGTCTTCTATGAACTAGATGAAAGTGTTCTAGGCAAGTTGGGTTATATCGGAGGGGCGGAAGGAGAGCTAGGGAAACTTTAGCTGAAACTAGATGTGTCCTCTAACCCAAAGCATGAATACTGGCTGACCTGATATAAATTTAGTTCCTACAAGTATTCTAACTACCTGCTTGATTACTCGCATGGCGCATACTCACAAAACAGTGTGTGCTATTCTCACTGAACTGCTTATTATTAAGATGTCAAAATCCAGGAAAATCCGTCTCAACATGAGTAAACAGGGAATAACTCAGATGATCGTTTCAACTACTACATAACGTCTATTTGTCTACTCTCTCCGTTGTGCGAATAACGTTCAGTGCTATTGTGTGTGTATGTATGATTTCATCAATGAACGGGAGTTTGCTTTACGTCGCACGAATTTCGTGTTAAAAACAGGAAGTCCAAGATAAGCCAAACTTTACAATAAAAAGGGATAGTTTTCTCAAGCACTTTGCTCACCCACCCCTAATCCTAACTTAATAATTTTGTGTAAACATCCATTTGCATCTTTTGCCCCCCGCATTGCATTGTTCACTTTGACATGTCCTATCGAAGCACAGTCCAGTGATCCCACTAGCTTCTTTCTACAATAGAGACTTGTATACTAGGTCCATTAAAAAGTGAAATGGACTACCTGAATTGTTAGAAGTGTGACATACCTTTCGTGGTGTCTGGTTTCACATGAACCCGGGTGTGTTCGCTGCACACAGTTTTGCCATGCTTACTAATACAATACAGTGACCCAAAGGCACTTGGTCGCCGTGCCACTAATATGGACATAATCCAGTCGTGAACTGGACAGCATCTTAGTATTCCGCACTTTGCATGATTAATCTAGGGCAAACTAGCAACCGTCACATCATTAGAATTGAAATAACTACTGAAGTTGGTCTTATGTATACATCGCATGCCTTTACAGAAATTCGTAGTGAGATCCCTTAGCAAAGTTTATTAGCCTAGCAAGTGGCAATGTCATCTACGATTTGGGTGTTACCAGCGTGCACAGCTGGCAACGGTCCAGCTATGACGCCCCTCTCTAATTACAAACACTGCCTTATTCAAGAACATCTCAAAACGATTGCTGCAATATTGCTGCGCACTAATGTTATATCATTATCAGATATTCCGTCTTGGTGATGGAAATACCCTGAACCTCAGTTTATTCACTGATGAAAGGCAAGAAAGTTTCAAAGGATGCTAATATGACTAATGCTCCTTCTCACCACAATCCCGGTCAATCACATGGATGTGGGCCTTTTCCAAATGACACAATGTGTGCTGGCGTGCACTAACAGACAGCTTGACTAACGTGTTTTCTTTCTATTGTGCGTGAAAATTTTGTCAAAAATGGTTCCACAGATTTCAGTCTGCCTTATCCTCTGCAGCTGGAATGCAAGCTGGGGATTCACGTGCTGCCACTCGTTCACCCGCTTCTGCTTATTCGCCCACAGGAAGCTCTGCCGATCCTCGAGTTCCCCCCATGGCTCCTTTGGACTTACCGCCAGAAACATTTCACGCTGACCTCGCTGTAATTGCTGAGGTTGCCGCATCCAGTAATCCGAACCCGGAAGATATCGTGGAGATATGGTGTGGTGATCAAGTGAGTGTGCGAACTTGTATGTGCTATGGTTGTATCACGCGTTCAACCACCTTCAACGCCTTTGCGAACTTTCTCGACGTGTTCAACTGCTGCGCATGTGTTCGAAAAGACAGACCTGGAATAGATGAAATCCACGGATGCTTAAGGATAACCTCCGAGATAAACAGTACATGAGTCACACAAAATGAAAAAGGTTCAATTAAATAATAGGAAAAGGTTGTGCACTTATTTAGACCGTTTAAATTGATTAATATTGTTCGTATGTTCGGAATTTGGTTCCCGTATTGTTTCCTGTATCCCCCAATATTCGCTTGCAACCGTGGGCTACTGATTTAATTAAGAAAGGATCAGGCACTGAATATACCGTGCATGAGGGGCTGGATGACTCAGTGATCAGAGCACGAATTTACCGACTGGAAGGTCCGTAGTTCAAACCTGATCTCTGCCTCTCGAATCCCCTTGTCTAGGATTGGGCAACCTGACAGTGTACCAGTCCTCGTGCCTCTTTCGGGTGGCATGGCAGTTAGGCACCGAAAGGGTGTTACAGCTCAACGATCATCTCCTTCTGTATACGCGACATGAGATTCAACGAGTCGTCCTTTGTCAGAGATTTTCGACCCTACGCATTCGTAAGTCATTTCGACACACAGGATAGTGAATTTTATCAGGCGCGAATCACGGCTGAACCCCATAGGACATGTAGGTATCTTTTTCCAGTCACAAACAACACCACAGGTTTAGCTACTCATCACGAGAACTGGTACAAAGTTGATTTCTGTGCCTTGCGATTATATGGAGGTAAGAACTGTGCGGGACATTTCGTAACTTATCTACTTCCACCACAGGATTAATTTCTTATACAGGACGAGAACTTCGAAATTCTTTGTCAATCTACTCACCTGTTTGTTTTACTGCTGAGTTATTATGCTCCATTGTGATTCTGATATCCACACTTCTTATCACTGCTTTTCGCAACTTTCAGATTATGTCCGCTTTTTTATTTTTCTATTTACAGTACTTGGACCCGAACATGAATCTCCGTAGTGCGCGGCACTTTTGCTGGAAACAGTCAGGCTATTTACAGCTCACCTATATGGTCCGCCATGAGAAACTCTCTTCCTGACCATTGTCTTTTAGCTAACGCTCTTGTCACCCGTGCTAACCTATCCGGTTCGTTCAGGATCTTTCTCTATTGCTTCTTCTCCTTTTGAAACTTGACCATTAACTTATTTCAGTTCTTGACTAAATACATTAATGTGTGGTTCAATTTCCTTCCGAATCCATTTTCTTTCTTCATACCGTCCCAATTGTACAGTCAGTCTAATTTTATCAAGACATTGTTACGTGATCGTCCAACGTGTTCTCCAATTTAATCTTGTCTGTTGCGCGGATCGACATGAGTCATAGGCGCACTTTCTCGGACATTAGTCGCATGCACCTAAATGCTGTTTCCACATGATAGATGGCCTTTATCTTATTACTGTAGGTTTGAAGGATGGCGTCTATTACGGTATCTGACCGAGTTGAGAACCAGGCTGGACAGCGCGACCGAGAGTTTTAGGCACGACATTCGGCGGGCACAGTAATTCTGCAAGCGTCTTCCTGGTCCAGCCTGTTTGCGCAGCCGATGTGTTAGAGTTCACCAAATTTATCCTACTCGGGGTTCGCCATAACTGCTGGCCTCGATGGCTCTCATTACATGAATAAATAAACTCCATGGACAGATAAGCTACTTCCACTCGCGGTCCAGTGATGTACTAGATAGTTTATTCCTGATTCGCCTTTTCGAAAACATTACAGAGTGCCTGGGAAGTCAGACCAACTCTTCGTTTTAAACAGATTCACCCATGGTTTGTGGAATAGCCAACTGAACTGAACCACAACAATTCTCTTTTGATCCACTTCCGAGCGGAGATCCTTCCTCACCGTGAATAACTGATTTTCGGCTCCGATATGTTGCATAACCCTAGAGAATGGCCGTAAAGTATCAACCATGGTAGCTGCTGCAGAACTTCATTCTAGTCTGCTTATCGATCTTTACTGTGTCTACTCAGGATAGATACACTTTTCGATCGCAGCCAGGAAGTAAATTGCTGTATCTCCCGATTCCATTTGCGCAAAACCGTGACAGACAAGTCATTCAAGCTTCTGTACCAAGTGTGGCGATGGAGTTCTTGTCTTCAGGGCAGTTATCCGATACGAGGTATATACTGACCATATGAGGTTGTGTTCGCTTCGGGGTTATCACCACCTATTGGCTACTGACAATGAAAATTTTGTTTCCCATCGCGATAAAACTATGTGTATGGCAGTGGTAGTAGTTACAAACACCAAGGTGGTTTACGATACTAAGTCGTACTACCGTAGTCCTTACAACCAGAAGTGAACTCGTACCATATTGACCCTCCCGTGGTGTCATCAGCCAATTTGCCTTGCCTGTTGAATACGTCGAGGCGAGTAGTCGAAAACTCCATTCTCCCCCACCCCATTATTAACGTTTTCCTTGTAGACCCATCCATTGGGGCCAACTACCCCATCCGTCTTTCATTTGTTTTTGCTTCAAGACCTGGACGTCAGCAAACACTGATTGTCAAAGGCCCCCGAAACTAATCTTCGATTCTTGATGCACATTTTACCTGGTGACTTAATTTTTGCACCCTGAACGAGCGAGGAAATACACCTCCGTCACTACACTCTGTATTACCTGGAAATGATGTATGCTGCCTGTCCTAGGCAAACCTTTAAGATAAGTACACTCGTTTGGTTGACTGCCCTATCAATCTACACTTGCTTCCACAGCGAGTTTGATTGGTCCTGTGGGCGGCAGGTAAGGTCTCGTAAGGTTTGCGTAAGATTCTTCTACTCCCGGAAACACCTCTTTTACCCTCATTGTATGTCCACTCTGGTATCCACTATCTCATTGCCATGCACCTGAATTCGACGAATATCCACTCGCTACCACGTTTTTCTTCGTTTTCGCTGTTTTTATCGAATGCCGCCTCTCGCTCGCCTTATAGAAGGGCACCTGAATTTATACTGCTTGATTGCATGTATATATATATATATATATATACATTGTATATATTGTATATTGCCCTGTTAGTATAAGATTGTGTTGCGTAACACGTGTTGCGTGTTTATCCGCTGTCTATGCACATCTTTTTCACACTTTTGTATGTACTTTCGTAGTTTTCACCCAAATCGCCATGGTCCGGTCGTTCGGTCTCGGTAATCCTACCTCGTCCGCTCCGAACTGATTTGATTTTTGACATGGGTGGTTTGAGATTAAGGACTAGTTTACGTCATCGGACATTGTGAGGAATATGCTAAGCTCGCGCGACCCGTACATACCTCCACCAAAATCGCAACACCTAATATGGATATGTCTGTTACGGAGGCTGCACTCGACTGCTCTTGACAGGATTTCGATTCTTTTTTGCTCTCCGTGCACTCCATATGAGGTATCCTCGGTTAGAACGGAGAGGCGATTAGGAGTCCAACAACCAAAAAGTCATTCGGCTCACTTTTCTAACATTCAGTACTTAGTTGATAGAGGGCAGTGGGTAATGAGTTTGAGCTCCCTCATCAAATTGACACAGGGTGTCCTGTCTTTGAGATATACTTCGGCATAACATCTCCCTTAGGTGTGTATCTACTTTGTGCTTGGAGTTGTGGTTCTCTTCCACAACCGACTTCCATAGGTTTTTTGAACCCACGTGACATCCGGAGGGTCGCCAACAGCCTGCATCCATTCTGCTTACGGATCATAGAACGCTGACCTCTGTCGATTGTCGTTATGCAGCGACAAGGCAATGAGCGTTTCACTGTATCACCACAGAGGATGTGGTTAGGTGCCTCCTGTTTATCGGAGGCAGTACGTTCATCGCTTTCAACGTGTGCTTATATTCAAACCCTTCGACCAAACATGTTTGATCCGGTTCGTTTCTCCTTTAGCTGAATGATAAGCCTCTTTCCTATATTTAGAAAAAAAACGCTTGTGTGGCGCGAGGTTCGTTTTGAAGGAGCCGGTGTTAAATTGGAGAGTGTCGAATGACCCTGAATATTATTCGAACCACCACGCTTATATTTTGATCCTTTTCGGTGTCACCACTTCAAGTTTTTTTCGCAGTGCAGCATCCCAAGTAGTGTCGTTTTAGCGATTCATGTTGACAGTTAATTTGCTTCCAGTGTACATGTAAACGCATTCATCCGGATTAATAGGGAATTTCCAAATCCATAACTTTTTAGAAATCCGACACAAACCGTGTGGTTACAAATTTCCCTCCACAGCTTTGTGTCGTCTGCCTATACCAAACGAGGTGACCAAAGGATCTCAAGAATGTCATTAGCATAGACAAGATTAATTTCTGTTCAGGGACGTAGCCCCGAGAAAAGCTACTGATGACAGATCTCCGTGAAGATGACTGTTTTTGCACCCTCACAATAAAGCCACAACCGACGTGGTGTTTAAGACAGAGGTGATATTGTAACACTTGGATGACAAATTTGAGCCCTGTCGCCTTCAGGGATAGCTTTTACGACGTCCTGGGTGCTAAAAGCTCAGATATCGTTGAGACTGCCGGAGATTTAAATGCACAAATGAGATGCATTTGGGTGGTCGACTTTAACAGGGCTCAGTACATACAGACAGAGCGGACGTATGATTTAGCTATGTTCTGACCCTAAGCTATTTTCATGCAAAACTAACTGATCACATACCATCAGTTACCTATTGTGCGGATCAATAACTGACTGGTTCCTTCTGGAATAGTTGTGTAGATTATGACGATGCGCTCGTCTGGAGCCGCTTTACTGTTCGCTTTTCAGAGCCTCACAAAGGAAGGCTAAATCGCTTAACCGCTGAGAGGCTCACAAATTTCGAACTTTAACGGTCTAGATTTCAAGCTTCTCCGCCGTCCAATCCCAGTTCGTATTGGAATGAGATCGCCACGCCGGGAGCTCCATCTGCGGCACGGTGCTGTCAACTGCACTCGGGCACTGAGTGTCAGTTAGAAGACTGTTGAATCCCGGAGAACTGTGCTCATCGGTTCCGATCAATTATCAGACGCCGAGTCAAGCTTAGCGTGCTAGTCGACCGTGAAGTCCGATTATTACGGAAGGCTGAAGAAATGGAGGTGAAAAAAGCCATAAATTTCCGCAGATTACTTCAGCTGATCCATGTGACCTGCCCCTGGAGACCGCCGGCGAATGAATCAAAAGTCATAGAGTGTAGCCCTGTTCAAGAAGGAAGAACCGACCGGACCGAGCACTTTGAAAACTTTTCACGGCTATCTCCTGCCTATGCCTTGGAACGCTATATCCAGTAGGACGCGGAACAGTGAACCTAGAATCCCTACGGTTTGGGATTTTTATGACTGCATGTAGGTCCATTAATGAATTAAGTACATAATTAGATCAGCTTGACTCCAGTCTGAACAAGACCCTTGGCAACACTTGTCTCTCATTGACTTATGGTAACCTTTGAAGCATTGACCCGACAGCAGCAAGCTGGATTCTCGTCTTGGATGGGTGTTTTGATCGAATTTTTACAACGTCATAAGTATAGATAACCCAAAATTTGGGTGTTCCTGTATTTCCGAGGCGTATTCAGCTCAAATGACCGGTTTGTTCTGTTTAACACTTTTACCCAGCAAGAAACTTCCCGGAAGTGTGTAAATTTAGTAAGTTCTTTTTATTCTAAAACTTGTGGGGTATGAAAATTTACTGAGAACTCTCATAAAGCGTCCGCACACAAAGTTGTACCCGACAAAGCTGCCCACTCTCTCTCCATCCCTATTTACTTCCGTGGTAGACGAGATAATGAGGCGAAAAGTAGATCTTCAAAACCGTGGTGTTCAGACAGCTGTTGACGAAGATGTTATCCAATATGCAGGTGACATCGTCCTCGTTTGCGAAGAGGGAAAGAAGTCGTAGATGTTTTGATGCGAATTGATCAAAGTCGTCCCGTCCTATGGCACACAGTTTTCACCGACTTATTGTAGGGTCATGCGGTAACTGGGTTTCCCATGCACAACCCAAGGAAAGACATCGGAAGTTGTGGAGCTTATTATGTACCTTGGAAGTTCTATTAGTTCCGATTGTTGTGTGACAGATGAGCTCAACACATAGATCTCTAAGCCTAGTTCACGCTCGCTACTTTAAGACACCTATATACCCGAATCTCAAAGGAAGTGTGCATCAGGCTATATTATCGGATCTTGCTGTACAGCCGTTGCCCTGAGAGCGGCAGACCTGAAACGCCTTCCATCTCAGACGCATAGCTGGTGTAGGTTGGACCGGCGAATCAGCAGAGGCAATAAGGAAACGAATATTCGGTTGCGCCACAGGGAG